AAGACTATGGCCAGTTACAGCACTGCCCATTGCTGGGTCTGCTGTCAGCCTCTCATGATCCATTTGGAGCAGAAAGGGGACAGTGGAAAGGAGAAAAGAAGAAGGTATTCATCTCCCACAGACAACAACCGATGCTGAGCACCACAGGTTTAATTGCTACAAGAGGGATTTTCAACTGCATGTTTGATGCACAAATTGACCTTGCTTTACCACCAGAAAGAACAAGAAATCCACAGCAAATAACCTCAAAAAATCCACTGTGTTACTAAAACCAGGGTTCCCATTCATGCTTCCTCTAGAAATATCTGCGGTGAATGAAACATGAGCACCTGATAAGCAGACTGCTGCTGCAGCATACGTTTTTCAGGCTGCTCTTTCCACAGGCTATTACTTCCACGCACAACAAAACTGCAAACTCCATCTTGCAATTTTATGTAACTCATTTATTTGGCCTATTTGTCAGCATGCTATCTTTCAACTTGGTTGAAGAGAGCTTTTATCTCAGAACAATGACAGTGCAATGAATCTCTGTATGATCATTTGCAGCTTTTGAGCCACCAACATCAGTGGTGAGCCTACAGCTAACATTTCATTGTCATCACTAGCAAGGAGAGGTATGGGTAGTGTTACTGCTGTGGAACAGAGTCTGTTCTCTAACTTACATTTGCCTTAGGTGTGTTAAATTATTTCACCAACAGCTTCAGAAAGCAGAAGAGGATGCTCAGCAAACAAGCTGCCAGTATCCTGATGACTGGCTGAACAATTTTGATGGATACTTCTACTCTTGCTAAGAGCAACACTGCAGAACAGGCATCTAATGCGTAGAGGTCTCCTCTTTGAATTTAGCTCTAGAACAAGTAAGCAAGTATCACGAAGTAATAAGATAAATGAAAACTTAGGGCCTTGAGTTTAAATGGCTAAGATACACCTAGGGAGTTAATGAATCATCCTAATTTGCAAAAGGCTCCAGAGATTACAACAGCCTACTCATCTCTAGCCTCATCCCTCTAGCTTGGAGATAAATAACTCACAAGTTTATTCATCTAAGAAGTCACAAAGGGACAGCCTCTCTGAGCCTAACCACAGTCAAGTATATCAAACAGGAATGCTAATCATCAGTTGCTTTTCATGTAACTACTCCAAAGAACCAGAGATGTGCCTACAGCCCTTGTGGCCAGAGGCCACAGAATCACAGAGTGGTTGAGGTGGGAAGGGACCTCTGGAGGTCATCTGGTCCAACAGCCCTGCTCACGCAGGGCCACCTGGAGCTGCTTACCCAGGACCATGTCCAGATGGCTTTAGAAGATCTTCACAGACAGAGCCTCCACCGCCTCTCTGGACAACCTGTCCCTGTGCTCAGTCACCCTCACAATGAAGAGGTGTCTCCCAGTGTTCAGACAGACCTTCCTGTACTTCAGTTTGCGCCCACTGCCTCTGGTCCTGCCTCATATCCAGGACCTGAATGCCATACTAAAACTATGACAAATGCTGCTTCTTAAAAGAGCTCTGCACTGAGGATAAAGAGTAAGACACACTGAGATCACCACCTCCTTTTTACTTTGAAAGAGCTGAAGGCAAAGATCAGACAGCCTAGAACTTGTGACATACAGAAAACCCCAGACTGCAGGACAGCCCGGCTACCAAGCCCACTGATCAGACAGGCCCATGAACCCATGCCAGGCTTGGGCCTTACCAACTGACCCCTCAAAAAGGCCCGTATGTTTTAGCTTCTGCACGAAGACGGACAACTTGCAAATTCTTCTTCCTTCGGAGGAAGCTCTGATTTACAATTGTCGTGGTCATTCTTCCAAATGGAAAGGGTTTGACAGGCCACTTTCAACATCTGAGAGCAAGTCCGACAGTCTTACAGAGCAGGTATCTTTATACGAAGTATTGACATTCTTGGCTAAAATGTGAAAAAATGACTATTATGACAGACCCATGTTGAGTTTATTTGGTATTTCAAGCTGTATGGAGTAGCAACTTGATCTGAGTATCACGTCTACCTGAAGAAAAACGGACCAAACACCCATAACATTTATGTAAGTAACTTTGTACAAGGTAGTTTCTTCAGGTTTTCTTTTTTAAAATCCTCTTTATGACTTAAATGAAGTAAAACAACAGAGCTCTGATGTTTCACAGGAAAAAACTCTCATCTAAAGTAATCCTTCCACTTCATTTTACCACTATTCTTTTTACGAAAAGCCGCTTCCTTCCATGGGATAAGTGGCTATGTTTGGCCCATGAACCGAAGAAAACCTCATAAAATTGAAAAAAAAACTAAACTAAGTGTCATGGGGTAATAGTATATACTTGTGCAAAACTCACATATACTAATATAGAAAACCTAAAAAATTACAAAGGTTAAGAAGCCTGCCAGTACAGTACAAGGAGTAAACTATAAAACACAAAACATTTAAACTTAGTGATATTCTTCCAGAAATTGCCAGACTGTAGACTGACTTTCTAGACCTGGGCTAGAAAATAAAAACGCTATTCCTACAGAGCTCAGGATCTTCGAACTGGAGTACACTTGGCATTTCTTGCTGTTGAAGTTGTAAAAGCCTACATGAGGGGCAACACACCTGCACTGCAGGTTAAGCGATTTCTTCCAGTAGTTAGCTGGAAAGATCAATAAGAGCAAAGGAAACCGAAAAGTACTGATGAATACAAGTGATCGGCTATGGGTCTATAAAGACACAGGAAACACAGCGTTTGCTGAGTCCCACTTGCTGAGGCTCCTGGAACAGGAAAAAGTAAGGGTAAAACATACGAGAAATGTCGTACTGGAGCGCAAGGGTAGTCAGCTACGGATGGCATTAGGAGAAGTACCCAAAAGCAGAAGTATTCAGGGAGAGTGGGACAAAACAACCAGTATAACTGTTGGCCTATTAATCTGACCTCCATAGCA